TGGTGGTGGTGAAGACGATGTAATGAAGGTAATGGCAGCCAGTGCTATCACTAGATCTTGCCTTTAGTGATCTCTCCACCACCACTTTTAAACGATGATCCTAAAATGACTACGGAATGCCTGTTTACAAATAATTAAGTAATGCGACTGAAAGAGTTCGTACCCCTTTGCTTACCTTTTTTATGTTGAATTATGGCGAGTGTGAATTCTCGGTATACGAAAGCACTTTTCACTCAAAATTTTGATTCAGAATCGGCTGCATAGGATCTTCGATAATGGGTATAATTGATCCAGATCTCCTGCCTGCTCACACGGTGTCCGAGCATCAGTAACGTTGACGTAAAAGGTGAGTCTCTTGAAGACAGCACGTCTATATCGAAAGTCCTTCCTTTTTATGCCTTTAAACTTAGTTGATAGAAAATGTGTTAAAGCTCCATTTTCAGTCGCTTCACGTCTTTTATCACACGCACACACACACACAGATTGCACACCTGCTCTCACCCTTTCATGAAGTTCTATTCATACTTGCAGTTTCATAAATCTTTACCCACCTTCTTGTACACGCATGGAAAGAGAGCGCAAACAAATGAAAAGCCGACAAGCGGTCCCACGCTTTACTGGACGCACAGATCAAAGACCCCGGGGAGACCTCTTGTCGAATAAACAGCACTGTGCCATACGTGCATTGTGGAAGCTCCTGTTGCGCTGCCACCTCGCCTGCGTAGGCCATAGTGTACGGAGACACTGAGTCGCTGAGAAGGAGGAGATTGAGAATTGCAACTTGCTTTACACTCATTTTTACCTGCCAAAAGTTGGGTGCATACCAGTTTGATTGGTTTGTTTTTTTACGAATTCCCAGTAAGCACTCATAGACTGAATACTTTAAGAAAATCGGAGGTAGGATATAATGCCTTGTTTAATGTAATGCATTACAAGAAAGAAAGGAATCCCATTCATTAAAGTTTATTGTTCGAAGAGATTTAGTTTTCGATAATTAAGAATTAATTAAGTTTCCTGAAATGGAAATGAGGAGGACGCAGCACTTGAGTGCTTCTAAAAGGATCAGATTATCTGTAAAGTGCTAGGAATTTTGCAAAATATTCTTTTAACTATATCGAATGGCAGTTGCTATATCCATGTGGAGTTTAAATGCAATTTGTATCAAACATGTTTTGTACAAACTATTCCGTTTCTCTCTCAAGAATATGATTTTTGTCCCATTTATGTAATCAGAGTTGCTCTGCAGATCGAGAAATTAGACCAGTTTTTCAAAAGGTATGAACCTCGAAGTGGCATCAATCAAACTTTTATACCGTTTGCGCGCCAGTTCCCAGCATTGCATTAAAATGTTTAATAAAGTAAAAATGGATTGCATATTTAACATCTGTTCAATCACAAAGACAAGCGGGAAATGAAGTTGGATTTTTAATTTGGCATTCGCCAGAGTAAACATCGTGCATATTTTGCTATTAGGTGATTGAAATGATAAGCTAGAGAATGCCATTGTAATGATCCCATGTCTTGTTTATTTGTTTATTTAAGTACCCTGACACCTTAGTCTCTCGAGGTTGCGCTTCCCCCCGCCCTCAGCGGAATGGCCTTCAGACCACGTCAGCAGGCCTCTAACCTCTGGAATTTAATCATATATATTCTTCCAAAGCACATTGGCCTCAGCAAAGCCTCAACACACTGCGGTTATCTTAGGAGATGTACAAACTCAGGCGAATTCGTTAGTAATTGAAAATCACTATAGGAGTTTTGGAGTTATACCAAAATCAAGAACAATGATTGTAATGAGCAAGAGGTCAAGTCAAATTTGCAATTCGGTTGTTAGTGCACTGAGAGATTAATTGAAGCTGATGAAGATCATTATGAGCATAAAAGAGTAAAGTTGATAGGACTAAACTAACACAAGATATGTAGCTATCAACTGTTGGAGAAGATATGTCAAAAGAGTTTATTTCAAAATATTTATACACGTGCAGTACATTTCAGGGAAGGTAGGTAATAAGGCCATTTTAGGAACACATGAGTTGTTTCATGATTTAGTCTCTGGCACAAACAAAATTAATCTTTTTACAAAGCACGAAGAATTGAAGAAGTGACGCTATCTGAAGAGGATGTAAACACAAGATAGCGTATTTGTTTGAGTTCTCTATATTGTTGTGTGAGTCTCCTTAGTGTCTACTGAATCGATGGCCACTTTGATTGTGCACGTCTCAGCTCCTGAGCGCCACTTGGTTAAGTTCTCTGTATTTATTAATTTTGTTGTAAAGAGGGTTCTGGGGCCATGCGCATCTTACAGACCTATGGGTGCTGGCATGGGCATTGCGATAGCATGTAGGGCTTCACTGGTAATAATTGCGAAACAAGGTAACACTAAACATAGATTGCAAATCAAAATTATAACAGTTCTACTTTAAAGGGTCTTATAGGTAAATTTTCGCAACTTAGGGAGTAAAAGAGTCAGGAATCCCTTTGTTTAAGTCGTCGTGGCCCGATCGCGCGAACGAAAATCTCTATACACTGTTTAAACATGCCGGAGTCAACAGTACAAAACCTTTTAGATCAGGCATCTCTACGCTGGATATTTGTGGGCGGAAAGGGTGGTGTAGGCAAAACAACGTGCAGCTGCAGTCTGGCGGTTGAGTTATCGAAAGTTCGCGAGCGTGTCCTCATTATTAGTACAGATCCCGCGCACAATCTCTCCGATGCATTCGACCAAAAGTTCTCGAGGTCACCAACTTTGGTTGATGTAAGATTGTTTCCTATTTGTGGTATTGTTTGTGCGACGCACCTTCCCTGTGGCTTATTATTATATCACCTGCTGCTTGGCAGTAATATGTTGTGTTTTATATGAATTAATTTATGCGTTTATACTTTTCTCAGGCCCGTCGTTATGATTAGCGGTCAATTCCTTTGACGTTACTTAACAGTTACCAGTTACAAGGATCTTTGAGGATTAGTTTTCCACGTTATACTGCCTCAGTCTTGTTTCTTCTGCCCTCCGGGGTATGCCAGCTCAAAAATGGTGTTTGTCATTGGTATGTAGATGGACTGGAAGGCTAGAAGTGCGGAGGGGTTATCCCACCAAGAGAGCTGTTGAACCTGCTGAAACTGAAGAGTGGTCGTACTTGGTAATAAATTTGTGCTAATACTAATTTACTCTATTTATCTAAAGGGCTTCAGGAACCTGTATGCAATGGAAATTGATCCAAATATGGGTGTTGAAGAACTAGAAGGAGACGTCTCTGGCGTTGAGGAGGCTACACACTCTGCAGATCTCCGGAGAACTTTGACCGGTGTGCTGAATTCCATCCCTGGTATCGACGAGTATATGTCATATACAGAGGTCTTCCGTCTTGTGCGTAGCATGGACTACTCAGTAGTTGTATTTGACACAGCTCCAACTGGACACACGCTTCGTTTACTTGCCTTTCCTGAACTGGTAGAAAATGGAATGAGCAAGTTGGTCAGGCTAAAAAATTCTATGGCACCTTTGCTCGGCCAGATGATGTCTTTCCTCGGCGTCGGTGGTGCTGGTAGTGGTATGTTGGCCTCAGAAGACTTCGCGCAAGCCATTGAAGCCCGTCTGCCGATTGTGCGAGAAATAACTCAGCAATTTAAGGATCCCAGTCAAACTACATTCGTTTGTGTCTGTATAGCGGAATTCCTGAGTATGTATGAAACGGAGCGTCTCGTACAAGTAAGGGAATATTCTCCCCACTCTTCTTACTGTTTTAGGCTCTAGCGGAGCAGGAAATTGACATTCACAATATTATTGTAAATCAGCTCCTCTTTCCCAATATCACAACAAGTGAAGGTGGTAGTCGAGGCGACTTAAGATCGGCTGAAGTACCAACAGATTGTAGGATGTGCAAAGCTCGACATCGAATCCAATCGAAGTATCTTGAACAGATCCTCGAGCTCTACGACGACATGCACGTTATCCAACTGCCTCAATTGGAGGAGGAAGTCAGAGGAAAAGACAAAGTTTGCACCTTCTCACAATATCTTCTCCATCCCTATACTCGACCAAGCCCATCTGGCTGGCGATGACGACCCACATCCTATTTCTTAGGTTCGTGATTAAGAAAGAATCCCATATCCGCTCTGTTATTCCCTTTTCCAGCTTACCTCTAATAGTGAATGGGAATTTTTGTATTATCCTTCAGTGAGATTTTATAAGGTTTATTGGAAGCAACGGAGTAGAGTAGGTCATATATCTACAGTGGTGGTGGCGGTGAGGATGTTCGTAGGAGACTCAGAGGGACATATTTCTGCCTTCCACGGACATGGGGACCGCGCGGACGAAGCGGGTTTTCCTCCGTACGGCTGCGTTCTTCGCCAGTGCACGAATGTGCCTCTCTATGCGACTAGAGGCGCCTCCGGGGGGTTGCGCTTGCTGAAGTCGTCGTTTTCGTGCAGAACGGGCCCCATCCCTCTCTCTGCCTTCCTCGTTATCATAGACGTCGTCTGTGTCCCCCTCTTCAAATGTAGAAGAGTTGGTAGGTACATTCCACTTGGGTCGTATCACATAGTCTTTGTTCGAGGGTTGCGGAACACGAGCCCGGTTCACCCAACCCGGGTCACCCGGCCGCAGGGGACTGGAGGTGGGAAAAAAGCCAGTCAGGATTGCTACCCTAAACTTCTCATGAGAATAAGCAGCGAGGAACATGACTCACATTTGGTTGTCAGAGGACTTCTGATTCACATCAATGTTGTCCACTCCTTCTTTTCTACAAAATAAGTCGCAGTGACAGTAACAAACGCCCTCAGAGGGTGCTGATTCACAGGTGGGTGCCATCAGATCTCGGATTTAAGTCTCAAAATTTAATAGGAGGGTAACATAAGTGCGTCAACGCTTTGCCCAAACTTAAGGTAGAAAGATTCCTCTGAAGTAAATGTGGTGCCTGGCATTGCTACCTGTTAGAAAAAAAGGGCGCTCAAAATCACCTAAGATTACGGCGTTTCGGAAGATGTTCAAGGTCCAGCTGCTTCCGCTCCTCCCTCGTAAGGGATCCGTAATCACTGGTTAAATTGAAAATTGGTCTCGACCACTCATCTAAGAGAAAAAAGTACCTGAAAATCACAACTAAATAACTAAAAGCCGATAATACAAAGTAGCCACCGGATCGTTACAACATTGATAATGGTAGGGTCGACCTAAAACTTAACCGATAAATGCACAAAACTTACTGATCAGGTGACCCGCGAGCATCTTATTGGCTCTCGTCTCCCTTGGATGCTTGTATAGGTACATAACAGCCTTGCCGATGCCTGAATCACGTAACAGGTCCGGGTCCTGAATATGAAATTCGCTAAGATGTCGCAAAAGAGTTTCCCTGATGGTAACACTGGGCAATACATGACCGGAAACGGGAGAAAGCCACTCAGTGATAGCACCGAGAATGCCATTGTCAATCAGAGCAGGCTTCATGCCGGCCCTTATAAGCAAATTACTAACAACATTCAGCATGCTCAATTTCTTTGTGGCAGGCCTATTTTTTGACAGGAGACGACGATCCTCATCCGCGGCACTTTTCATTTTACTAACAGTTTCGCGGATAATCTCATCATTGTCGTTGAGAAACTCTTCATCCCTACCCAGCCGTCTTCGTCGACGCGTCTCTTCACGCCGACGACTCATAAATCGATCGAAGTCGGAAATGAACCCTTCGCCCTCATCATCATCATCATTATCGCTTGTTGCTTGTTCCCGGGGCTGATGATGATGATGCACCTCGTCCTTTATAATTTCGACGGCAGCAATGCTAGCTGCTGAGGAAACGGCCGCTTCCTTCTCAACTTCATTTTCCGCAAAACCCTCGAAATCTCCTTCTTCCTCAGCATCACTCTCGCCAAAGATGTCTGCGATCATGCCCTTGGCCCCTTCCTCATCCCCGTCGAAGCCTTCGAAGTCAGCATCAGCCTTCTCCTCCTTCGCCTTCTCATTCTCCTCTAAATCACTCCTTTCGTTCCGCTCTTCTTCATCTCCGCTGGAAAAAACCCTCTCCTTATTTCTCTCAAAAGTCTCGGGTGATAACGCACTCCCTTTTGCAAAAGCTTGTAAATCCACTCGCATTCGCTTTTCTTCATGAGTTTGGCATTCAGGACTGCTTGAAGATATCTCGCTATCACTATTGCTCATCGCCAGTCGGGATGGAGTATATGTCGGCGTTGTCGGTGACATGAATGGTTCTACCCTGTACTCGTTATCCGAGCCGACAGCGTCAAATCCGCCGCCTGGGAGAGTTTTTGCATCAGCAATGAGATCGAACGAGGAATCATCAAGTTCTATCGGGAGTTTGCCTTCCTCAGGTTCGTACGTTTCCCTATTGACTGCCATGGATGAGTACGATAATCTACAAAGAGTAGAACTTATAGAAGCCAGTTCATTGCATATGAGTGAAAGCTACAAAACAGCCCTGAAACTGCATCCTTGCTGCTGCGTTTAAGCTAGAGCGAATGACTACGGCCTCTAAGTTGCAAGAAAGACAACTTTGAAGTTACCATAACTGAATCACATGAAACCCGAAACGCCGAAAACAAAATGGGCATTAACACCCATAATTATCCCAAGAAATATGAAATGCAATATGTTTGGTACACAACTGAACAATCTAGCAAAAGTCCAACCAACGCCAACCCGATAGTGAGACCCGCAAATAATCAGATGATTAGGTTGTGCTTATCAACTCACAAAAACAAAGTATATCTAAAGCATCCATTAAAATATTACTAGGTGAACACATTCAGAAAAATTCGCAAAACGCTCTTTTTTATCAAAACAGTGAGGGGTATATCATTATCACACAGATCCCGTGCAATTTTTACGTCAGGTAATTTTGGAGATTACCACTCAATCACTTGGTAAGTCTCATTTTAATAGAGCATGATACCTGAATTTGCATAAGGCAGATAAGACTTTGTGCTTTAGATTGTAGCATGGGCCGATAAAGTATTTAATGCGTTCTGGATGCTCTTCATTTTTGCACAAAATGGATTCTATGGACCACATACTTTCGCTTGAAACTTGTTGAACTGAAACCCGATATTTTTATTAAAAGAGGTCTTATGCACTAGTTGGCAAATTGTGATTCTAGTAAAGGCGTTTGTTTAAGGCGTCGTAGATGGGTTTCATCGGAGCGCCTGATATGCGTGTTGTAACTTGGGGAAATGTGGTCCACGTTTGACTTAGGGACGATAACGCCCGGGAATTTTTTTTGACTGTAGTTGCAGTTCTCATATTTGTATGCATTACAATTGGAATCGCTTGCTATGTTATCTTTTCGCTGAGCAAACATTCCGATCCAGAAAAGTTACCAAATATGCGTAAACGGGATTTTACTATACAAGAACTTAGTCAATTCAATGGAAGCGGACCCGATGGTCGGATCTTGATCGCTGTTAATGGAAACGTTTTCGACGTCACCAATAACGGCAAGGAATTTTACGGGAAAGATGGTCCTTATGCGATTTTTGCTGGTCGAGATGCTTCAAGATCCTTGACAATGTTCACCACCGATATCCCACCATGCAATGAAGAGTATGATGATCTGTCGGATCTCACCTCTGACCAAATGAAAAGTCTCAAGGAGTGGGAGTTGCAGTTCCGTGGTAAGATCTTCATGTCTCTGTATCCTGTAAGCAGTTAACATAGAAATCCGTTTTCAATTTTACCTTGCCTTATTGTTACTGTTTTACCCGTCTTATAACCCGCTTATTCCGGGTAAAAATTTAGTTTTTTAAGTCCCCCTAGGTATACATTTGTTTGCACTGTGTGTTTTCCCGTATCAGTGACAGATCGTGCGTTTCTTCTCCATTAACTCTGAAGCTTGCTATTTACCTTTTTTAAATCGTTATTTTATTCTTTTGAGCACAAAATCAAGTTAGCGGGAGTGTTTTTAATAGAATATGCGGTTGTGGGACTTGCGTTTACTATAGCTTTTATTTTCGCGACACCCCTAATTGTGCGTACCATTTGAGACTCATGCTTGCAATTTTAAATGCGTATCCATAAGTAATTAGGTAATAATCTACTTGACTCGACCCTGAAATGGAGAAGATTTAACAGAATTTTGGGAAGTTTTGAAGCGTAGTCTCTTTGAATCGAAGTATAGTTTGTGTTTGGTCCTTACATGAAATGTTGACTGAGTGCTACACTTTGTCTTTATTTATCTAATTACTATCGCGGGTAATATTCTACTTTAATTGGTGTCGCACACACTCACCATCAGAGGCGATTATCATCGAGTCGCTATCGTACAAATATCAGTTTTCTATATTTCAGAGCGTTATCCACTTGTGGGGAAGCTTTTATCTCCCTCAGAGCCTCATCACCTCTACGAAAGCGCTGATAACGAGGATTCGTCCCAGGTTGACACGCTTACTGGTTCTGCAAAACCTAAGACCGACTAGAGTGATGCAAAGCACAATGCATTTTGCACACTCCTCTAGAACAGTGTCTACATTGAGCCTTCCTTTGGAGTTCCCGATAGTTTTTAGGGATCTCTGACTGCGCTTATTTTGTCTCTGTTTGTGCCTCTTTGTACATATAGGCCTGATTGTTCTACACATTTTTTGTTTTTAATAACGCCTCTTAATTAATTGGTGCATAATCCTCCATGACCAATAAGTAATGCAGTCGCTAACATTTCGTATTCTTCGAAGTTAGCCAAAACCACTGCGCTTGAAAGATTGCGATAGTGCGTAGCAGGACTATTTGCTTGGCATCGTAGCCTTCACGTTCACAGATTTAGATGAAGTGAGTAGGGGTGAGTCTTCCTTTGCACATTATAGTGTGAGTTATGGATTTATTTAATATGGTTTTTCTTCGAAACAGTTCGTGTGATGGACTGTCTATGGATAGGCTTTCGTATTCTTTGTGTGTCACTGTGAATCTTGTAGCAGAAAGTAAACGGTGAGATGGGACGCGGTCCAGTGTTGCCAAGCTCAAAGATGACACGAGAGTCGCGGGTAAATGTCGAGGTTTAACACACTTAGAAATAACTGGTAGTATCGTTTATGGTGATAACATGGTACTCAACGCTCAAGGTGATGGTAATCCCCTCAGTTATTTAAGATTGTGATGGCGTTATAGGCGCTTGGCGACGCGATTTTCTGATAGAAGCAATTGGGTTTTCCAAGAATCGCTAAAACGTCTATGTTTGTCAATTAAAGCTCATTTATATTGTGAGTTCCGGTGGCAGTGCACTGCAAAGGCATCAGTTTGTTTATGCCATTTCTCCCAAGCAGATCAACAAAGTACCTTCTCATCATACTGCCTACCCAATCCAGTCACTTCAATAGGGAAAACATGGCGGCAGAAAATCCGACTTTTCCAACGGGTAATGGGTAACTTTTTGTTCCAATTTTTGCGTAATTCAAGTGGTATAATGAACGTTTGATTCTTGATTTCAAAGATTCTTTTATGTATACAACCGTCAATTCAACTCCAGTTGTCGAGTATGTGGGATATTTATCGAAATGGACTAAAAATGCTTGAGAATAAGGAAGGTTGTAGCAATCGGAGGGCAGAGGTAGCATCCGCAGTTTATATAGTTTGTGGTGACGTCTTATGCTTAACGGCGGCCTACACAATTCTTGCTAGAGATGAATTACAAAGTAATTATGCTTGATTTGCCGTGGCTGTTTGTTCCCTTAAAGCATATCCCATAACCAGAATTGTTCATTCATGCGCAACAAACAAATTGGTAAAGGCAATTGGTAACAGTTTGCCTTTGTAGTAGTATTTTATTGGTCTTGACACAAGCAGTGCAAAGTGGGGAATATATTTATGCTAAAAATGATACACGAAACCAGTGATTTGCTGTGGACTCCGGGTTCGGTCTCATCTCGGTCGATAATTTGCAAGAATCTAACTAAAAGAGCTATCTCTCTCTTTGACTTATCAGGGAGCATTTGCCCCAAACGTGTCGTTAGTTGTGAGCCAAAAATCTCATCGAACCTGAAGACCAGATGCAAGTGGAGAATGGCGACGACGCTGCAAAACAAAGCACCGGATGTAAACGCCTGAAAGTTATGCACTTTTTTGCAGGCAGCTGTTCAGGACGGACGGTTACAAGTTATGCCGGCTTTCAAAAGGCGTTTTTAACAGACATTTCCAGCTGTTTTCAAAGTTTGCCTTTACCAAAGTCAAGAATTTTAACCCTGCCAAATTATACAGAAGAGCAAAAAACACCAGCTCAACAAATACAGCATTATGAGGTACAAATTTCCGACCAGGTTTTTGACTTTTCTGGATTCGCGCATGTTGTGCTTGGATGCGACATACAGGTGGTCAGGGAAGTGGTTGCAATCGTTGAGCAACCTTCAAGGGAAAGTCATGTTGACGCTAAGGTGATAGTAATGCGCCGGGAGCTACCTGGAGCCTTTTTGCACATTTCTTCTCAAATGTTTGTTTCAGCGGCGTATTGTCAAAGGTTGTAGTATGGATATCCGGCTCGTAAGTGGAAACACACTAACGCCCCATCAGTGGCTTCATGTGCACAGTTTGTACCTGAGCTGCCATATCCTTTCGGAGTGTTTATTTATTTAGCAATGTCAAGTGGATCTACCAAATGAAAGTTGTGTTCGTTTAGGCGTAGCGGTGTTATCGTGCCTTGTCAAGCAACCTTAAAATATGGAATTGTGGCGTTTAACTCGGGATGGATCATTCCAAGTTCCTATAACAAATACAACATCTTACCTACATGCTTAACAAACCCCTCGGTAAAGTCGGGATCGAGTTTGCTGCTAAAAGCGTCTTCGACTTGACCCTTGTGATGAGAATCGTGCTTCTTGACCTTTGGTGTTTCAATGTGGCCATTAACCTAGTTAACAACGCACAATTTTTACGGAGCAACAATTTACGACTTTTCACCGTCGGATGAGGCCACTTTACTGCTTTGAAAATAATTTCACGTATTTTTAAAATTACTGTGAGCTTCTTTTTGCTGGCGATCCCGGTGATTCTCAACGGTCTTAGCATATTTTTTCATGCAGTCCAAACACCAATTTAGTGAAAAGGATTTGCGAATTGGAAGCAAAAGAGACTCAAAGCAAGTTGGATGAATAATAGCCCAAAATTATTCGCTAAGTCATTGGTTATCGTAAATAGATGATTTTAGACTAAACTTAGGTGGAATATGAGAGGACCTATTGAGAAATATGTATTATTACGACCAGCAATAAATCTGCTACTTAAAGCGCATTTCTGACTTCATCGGACTTGAGTATTTTCACTTCTGTTTTTGGCATATGGTGAAAAATACAAAACAAAATTTCAGACATTGTAAAATCCAAAGCACTTTAACTAGAATTATTCAGCTTTAACAACAAATAGAAATCCTCCTTCTTATGTGGATCACTTGCTGATATTCTAGGATATCCTAACCCAGTGGGCCATTTGCAGAGGTTGAATTAATATGATTTCATCTTATAAAGTGTTTTAATCCGAGCTATATGGGACAGAAATCCTTTAGAGTAAAGGAAATGTGAAGAAGGCTAGAGACTGCCACTGGACAATGCTGGGTCACCTGAAGAGGATGTAAGCCGACTTCTTGCATCACCGTCTTCACACGGTTACTGGAGAAAGATGTAAGAAAGCAATGCCAAGGTCTTGAAAAATAACAGTGTAATACGAAAAAGCGTAAAATTTATGTCCTCATCCACTAAACGTGGACTTGTCGAGGTGCGAATCAGCAACTAGCTTTGAAGCAAAGCTGCAGCGTATTTTGAGCTTATAGTCGTCAGTTCATGTAAGCGCTACAGCTACTGTGCTCTCTGTATTTTAAGACAACATTGAGGGATCGCAGAGTAAAGCTGTTCAACCAGCAGCCTGTGTATTAGTGCAATGCAGTTTCCCTCGATGTATATTGTAGGGCGGTAAACCGGAGGATTGGACCAACCTCGTGACCGAGGGGTCGCTATCTCTCCACGAGGAGGAGACAAACGCAGATCCCTTTACGAAAATTTGAACGTTTGCAAAAACCTACAAGAAATCATGCCTTCCCCAACCAGTCTCTCCGATTCGAAGTATAAAATCGGAGAAGGAAGCGAAAAGCAAAGAGAATATTGCACCAGACTGGAATTGCTAGTACAACGCATTGTGCATTGACAACTAATTTTCTTCCTTCTATTTGAGGTCAGAACAATTTTCTAAACAGCAATTTTGCTTCAAATTCATTAAGGACCTGCGGCTTCTGCATTCATATTCCACAGGAAAACTTGTCAAAGTACAAAAAAGTAAACATAAAAACTCCAACGTATTGATGTTGAGTTAAAAGTTACTGTTTCTTCCGGTTTGGCATAGCCCATTAGCTTACTCCCGCTGTTAGGCAGAAATTGATGGCGCCCACTGCCACTGCCTCAAAGTGCTAGACCGTACGTTAGCCAGTGAAATGCATACAATGAAAAACAGTCAAAAACAACTTCTGCTAAAATGTGTTGAAAGACCTCATCCTAAATAAGTCCAATTGTAATACACTACGAACACAAGCAATATCTGTCGAAATATTTAATTACCAGATGACTATCTAGCAGAGCCGAAACGATGCTGGCCATCAACGGAATGAGACCTGCAAATGGACGCTTTGCAAGAAATGGCGATTTGATTTGGAGGACTCCTCCACTAGTACAGTTCTATTTACAACAAATTCGATATCATGCGAAATGGCTGCCATTTCTTTAAAAAGACTCTATCGCCTGACATTTGAACGAGTACACACCACAAGATGTCGATAATTGCTTTCCGTGATCGGTCTTACTAAACAAACTTTCAAACACCTGCACAACAAAACTTTACTTTTTTTAAGCTAAATATAGTCACTTTAACTATTCATCCCTGACCTCAAAGCCTACGATATTAATTAATCCATAAATTTGGTTAAAAGGCAAAAATTTGGAGATGCAAATTACAGGAATATGTTAAATACATCAGTAGTTAATTATAAAAATCTCAATAAATCCGCGGTATGAAATTAGATTCAAAGTGTCAGCATTACTTGGCAAGAAATTACATCCGCTTAGGCTGCAAAGTCATTTTAGAGAATCTTCCCGTTTGAAATCGCCGCTAAATGCAGAAATAAATCCTGGTTAAATGAAATCGGCATTTGTCGTTGACAAATGCAGCAGTCCTTCTAATTCCAATCATTATCGTTAAAGGAATATTGCAGGAACGATTCATGAGTAAGTGTAATGCTTTAATTGTTTGTTTAACTCGCAGTTTTGGCAGCAGGGCCACTTGGAGGCTCCGCTACTGCACCTTCGCCGGAAGGTCCGGCCAATAGTTCCAATTCCGTCAAAGCATTGTTCCGTCTTTTTTCCTCAGGGGAGTCTGGGGGCGCTCCACAAGGTCAAAAGACGAGAAGCATAAACAGAAAAGTGGAATGACTGAAATGAAATTAATAAAAGCAAAGTATCATTTTATGTGGTTGGTGTTAAGGTATTTCTGCCCCATTACTTTGCATTAAAAACTACTTCCTACAGTATTTAGCGCTTGGAGTCAGAGTAACGCTATTTTTGACGGGAATTTAGACAAGATGCGAGTTCACGCCCCAATATGCCTTCATGTTCGCATCATTAAAATACATTTTTGTGACATTTTTGAACACTGGGAAAGGGAGGATTTGACACTGGTTAGAATCCATACCGAACCATATTACGGCACTTGATTGTATCACGGCTGAAGTAGGTAGGGGTCTACTTGGGGAGTTATTGTACGACTTGGACAAAGGCAATTGCATTTCAGGTTGTCAGTGATATTTCTACTACCACTTTTGTAACCTAAATGAAAGAATTAAGTGGCGTTGAAACTACAAGTACACATTCAGGGCTATTGTACTCAAATGTGGAGTAATCGTAAACAAAGTGTACGTGCCCTTTGGGTAATCTGTGGCTTAACAGCCTAGATATTGGAATAGAATAAAAGAGTCACCACCTGATGCCGAGTGATGAGCAGGAGTGCGATCCTGTTAGACCTCCTTTTTGCTTTGAAATTCACATTATCATATACAGGGAGATGGAAATCAACAAGATAGAATCGTGCCTGAGGTGAGAATTTACCGCCAGTAGAAAACTTGTGGAATCCATTGAATACGTGAGGTCTTCAAAAAGAGCAGAAAAATACAAGGGAAATGCCAGTAAAATGGCACTTCCGGTCGGCGCAACTCACTCTCAGTTAACACAGCCGATAATAGAGTCCCATCCTATGTTGTACAAACTCAGGTAGCTCCGAGAATTCTCAATAACGTAGGAATGGGAGGTGTTGTTTTAGGCCTCTTTAAAAAAGAAAAGCGTACCTTATCTCCTCCCGTCTACCGCATAGTTGTTCTACTTTTTATTATTATTTCAATGTTCCATCCCAGTAAAAAACCTCTTCGATCTTCAAATACAAATTCTGTACAGTCGTACAGCAAAATTCATTTATTATATACATTCAACTCCTATTAAATGAATGGCTACTTAAGTAAAAATAGATAGCAAATACATGACTTCAATGGCTACTGCAGAACCAGAAAGGCGGGTTAAAAAAAGCATTTTATAGCTGTTGCCACATTGTCAGCACAACGCGTTTGTTTAAATGTACCTGTCAGGCGAGAGGCGATTAGAAAGTGCGCCATGGGCTCCGAGAGGGAAGCATATTCCGCAAAAATGTTAACCTGTAATACCTGTGCCCCCTTAATAATCGCTACCCCATAAAGCACGGCCTCGTCCAACTCGTTCACTAGTTCTAAGGCTAAGGAGAAAGCGATAAACACTGAACCTATTACAATCAGCATAATTTAACTGTAGACTTTTGCACCCATTCAGAGACGCCTAAGCTGTTTACTTTAAGGAAAAAAATAACCCAGCGTAATTCATAGCGCTTGTTTTTTCTTTCTTTTCAGAAATTTTTAAAGGGCAAAGTAAGTTTTACTGACCTTATTATTATTGACTCTCTGAACTTTTTTTGAGGAAATGCCAATTCGTCCTCAAATAAGCGTTCAGTTATATCACATTGTGTATTCGCCATGCAATTTTACGCCCCATCGAGATGACCCACATATGGCTTGCAAGGACCCCTGCCCTTCCCACAATCTTCTAGTATTTACATTTCAGGACATTCAAGACATAATCTAGAGGAAAATATTTCCACATGTTTGTCGGTGGAGGCAATAGTACCTGAAAGAGATCATTGAAACGACCGCAGTATCATCAAAGTGGAGATTTTAATAATGTTTAACTAAATATGCCACTTTTAAGTGGATTAAAAATCGATTAAAAAACTACTGAAGAATGCTTTATTCCCTTCACGATATCACAAACTTGTTTTCTGAATACGCGAATACTCACAAAAATAGATCCAACAGGTGCATTTACTCCTTTATTGCTGAATTTCGTGCTAGCTGACAGTTTTCCGAGAACTTGGAGGTCATCCTAACAGTAAGAATTGCTTACTATGGTTAGTCGTTTTCAGTGAATCTCAAACAGACTTTTGCTCAGCACTTCGACTCTTCGCTATGTTCTTCCTCGGCCAATGGAAATGCGGATTCCTCCTCCTTAAAAATTACCAGAAAAGCCAAATATACACTTATATGGAGTAGATAACCGACAAAACTGTAATAAATCGGTCAAAGACGAATCCAGCAGGGCAAGCACAGAATCCACTCCTCTGCCAAGCAGAGGTTACATCACATTTGAGTTGGCAAGCGCGTGACCTGTTTAGCAGCAGACCTATCTAATTCTGCTTAGAAAGTTTAGCTATATGGGCGCGAATGCGCGCCTGTAATAGCGGAGTCTCTCCAGCACCGGTTTGTGCTTGAATGCCCCAACAGCACTTCAGCTGTCGCTAATTATACAGGCGCGCGCGCAACCACGTGCGCACCCACAAAAGAGGAGTCATTTGTGCGCAGCTATAGCATTTCCCCCTGAGCATTGAAGTCGTCTTCCGAATGAACTGAGTTTTCGCGTTATGTGAATACACTGATAGCCTAACACTATCATTCTGTCAGAAATTTTGGCATGAGTGCATTGTACGGCGAATCACGAACGAAGTCGAAAGGTCACGATGCTTAGGCATACGTGGCGTGGTGAGATTCTAAAACATTATGAGCTTTCATGCGAAATCAACCCAGGTTTTGATTCAGATGGATAATTTTAAAACAACCAGGTGCATGTGACCCAAACCCGTTGAGTTCACCAATTGAGCTAGGTCTTGAACCAAATTTTCCATGACAGTCATTGTAGTTTGCCGCTCTAATATACCATGACACACCAACCGCATCTCCCACCTCCATGAGATGACGAGTTCCAACAATATGCTTGTTATTAATCAATAATGCCTTATTTGAATTGAGTAGTCTGAGATACGCACACGTCACGCTCACCACGTACCTACGAGGCATTTTAATAATCAACACAGCCCTTAATCGTTACGATCACTTAATTGTAGTGAGACGGAGCTGTTCGTAGTGCAGCATGTTAAAGACATCCGGGTGCTCTTTAGTAAAAACCAACAATACGCAAAACGAACTACAACGACCAGAAATTCGTGTCCAAGCTAATAGTTTCAGAGCACTAGGGACGGAATATAGCGTGCAAAATATATACAATGAGGAGATGCACAATTTAAATACCCCGATAACTTTAAATTCGCTTTTGATCATGACATAGTGGTTTTTTTCTGCTGTTCTTGAAAGCACAAGAATCCACCCGTTTGCTCGAAAGGGAAAGAGGTGAAATAATTACTAGCCTTTTGATGCACGGACCCTGACATCAGTTGAATCATGTGATGCTTTTGCCTACTAGCACGTGTGTGATCTGAAATACAACACACCAAACGGAAAGTGATAATTAGTAAACGCTTCGCTACGGCAACGAGTATGCAGCAAAGAAGTCACATGTGCAAGCAAAATATGATTCCCGATGTGTCAAGTGGACCGTTAATTTGATCTGTGGCTGTCAGGATCCACCATTTTCTACCCAAGGAGCGAAACGAGGATTCAAGTGCGTTTCAAATACGGTACCAAACTGAATGAACCTATTGTTAGAAGCTATAACTAGGAGGCAACGTGCCTCTATGACATCTTTCGTGAGAACTCAACGTAATACGAAAAGAGGGAATCGTAACAATTAATGGTTCATTAGAAAAATTCCTTAGTGCTTCTACTCCTCTGGCGAATGCTCAAACTGCCAGCACATGGGCAATCAAGCCATTACTTACAAATTCGATAACCAATTTGATTCAGCTGAAGATTGCGTAGTGATAGCGATAAAGAGCAGTCTAATCAACTCAAGTGGGATAAATTACGAAACCTCTAAAAGGTCCATATAGGTGTTCCGGAAGCTTCACCTAAACAATAGCTACACTTATTTTAACACATACATTCCTATTTCATTCCTGCGTAAAGGCTCCTGGGATTACAAAAACGCTAGGCAAAAAGATTCTTACCCATCCTAAACATTCACAAGCAAATTGTAGTCTGTCACGATGCTGCTAGCCAGCTAAACACATGAAAAATACATCTGTGTAGACGCAATAATATAGGCGCAAATGATAGTTGCAAAACAATTATTATGTACTCACAAGGGATACCCTTTAAGTGATTTACATAAAGCTTTGGTAAACGTAAATAGTCAAGACGATAATAGCAAGCTGACAGCACTTACGGCGTTTATATTGGGTATTGCGCAAGTGCATGACAAGGGTAAGGTCAGCATTTGAACAATAATACGTAACGAAGATGCAAACTTTAATATCCATTTCAACAATTTAAAATGGAAAATATTCTCAGATATGAGGCTTGGTTTAGATGAAATTTGTGAAACGAAAACAAGAGAGTAGCCAAAGCAGCTGGACTTCGGCGCGAGGGGTCACGATGTATTCAATAAACATTAAGAATAATCATGTTTGCACTGCTCTAACTGCTGTAGAGGCTAACCAAAGAGCAGTGACCATGACGGGTTACTATCCAGTTCACGAGAGCATATAACATACAGGGACAGAGAAAACGAAGTTTTCGCGAAACTGAGCCAAGACGCTAGAGGCACATCAAAACACAGAAGTCAAGAATGGTCAAGAACGTATGAGACTGGGATGGTAAGCGAATGACGAATGTATCGATTTTTGCAAGCAAAAATTGATATTGATTGCGGAACGATTAGATCCAATTAATACAAAAACACAAAGCAATTTGTATGCAAGACGGGATGAAGAAGATCGCCAGTAGCATATAAAACTGAGTGTTGCTTTGCATGATTAGGGAATTATTAGAAAATATAGGTCTACAGAACTTTACATCGCTTCTTCCTCGACTTCTTGGATGTTTCCAACGCCGCCCGAGTAGCCATTTCAAAGACCTCGCGGACGTTCTCCTTAGTTTTAGCTAAAAAGGTAACTGGGAAGCAGACCACCTACCGGAGCACTCCACGTAACCATAGGCTCCAATTTGAGCGGCCTTTGCTTTCCCCTGCTCTGTTGTTACAGGAGACTGTCTGAATTTAGACAGTTCCGCAAGTGCTCTTTCATCATTGCGTAGATCTTTCTTATTACCGACAAGAATTATCGGTACATTGGGACAAAAGTGCTTGACCTGAAACGGTTTTCCACCATAACAAACCTACTTCTGCTGTCCACTTCTCAGATATATTTTCCAAACTATCAGGACTATCTATCGAAAAGCACATCAGGATAACATCAGTCTCCGGATAAGACAGAGGCCTCAAACGATCGTAATCCTCTTGACCCGCTGTATCCCAGAGGGCCAGTTCAACTCTTGTATTGTCCATCTCGATATCAGCGACATAATTTTCGAAGACAGTCGGCACATACACTTCGGGAAATTGATCTTTGCTAAATACTATCAGCAAACACGTCTTCCCACAAGCTCCATCTCCAACGATAACAAGCTTCTTCCTTATTGCGTCGGAAGCCATAAAAACACGACAGCTCAAATAAGGCACAAAATGTAGCTGATTGGCCTATTCGTTTTAACAAATTAAAACCAAGTAGAGTACAAAGGCTAGACACCATACCAACTCCCATAAAATGCAGTTACCTAAGTAAAAAAAACTAAAAAGCTTTTGGCTGCAGCTTGACTTTTTTATTTGCTGCGCGGAAAATATATGAGGAACCAAGCCACCATGAATTTTCATATGCAAAAGCAACTTGCGCTTTTTACACAAAAATGTTTTAGAACAAAAATTTATAACACTTAATTTGCTAAACCCCTAGTTTGATCAAGATCATTTACCTACCTAGTTTCTTAAGTCTAATTACTCTGAGACAAAGATTGATTTAGCTATTGCAATTTAAACTACAAAAATTGTATCTTTACTACCTTAATACGGTCCCTTTGCAAAATGGGGGCAGCATCTTGGTCTGAAACAAGGCGTATGCTGAGAATTTTATACCAGTTTCCAGCTACAGACCGACTCCCATATCTAAGGTAATAAATTGTAGCGTCCCGAGACTCCCTTAAGACAAAATAAGACACAATACTCGGGCAGAATATATATATCTAGCACGGAGAAGGTATCTGGGCTATTGGCATGGCCCAAAAGGCCAGCCCACCCAGCGAGGTACAAGGGGGCTAATTCAAAGTACAAAAGTGGCGCCTCACCAGAACCGAGGGATAAACCACTATCGTATTACAAAATAAACAGAGAGGAAAGCTTCTGCCTCTATTCTTTGTAAGTAAAATCCTGTAACTAGTGCGTGTGAATATTTTCGCTGTACCTCCCAATCTTTGATTCCTGCCAATACCTTTATAAATCATTTTGATATAACGTTTTTGGAAATTTAAATGCAGGTTCTATAACTGTGAACCAATTTGCAAAAATAATTTGCTATGAGTTTGTATAATTTAAATAAGCGTTATATCCACTCATACTTTTGCCTTTTTTCTTAGAAGCTAAAGTTACACGTTAGTTAGCCTCTTGCTTTTTGTTGGACAAGTATTGTTTTGTGTTTTTACACTGAATTTCGGAGTCTAATGAAATGAATTTTAGGTTGTTTATACCAGCCACTTTAGTGTATCGACCTGTAATCCCGGTCCCTTCAGGTCTTTACTTCCCGATGGCGACGAGTGCAATAAGGAAAAAGTTGGTGATTGTCGGTGATGGAACATGTGGCAAAACCTGTCTTTTAATCGTTTTCAGTAAGGACCAGTTTCCGGAAGTATACGTTCCTACTGTGTTTGAAAATTACGTTGCCGATATCGAAATGGAGAATACAAGAGTAAGTTCCTGTTTCTGCACTTATTTGAGGTTGAACTTGCACTATGGGATACTGCCGGGCAGGAGGATTATGATCGGCTTAGGCCTCTGTCGTATCCTGAAACCGACGTTATTTTGATGTGTTTCTCGATTGATAGTCCCGATAGTTTGGAGAATATATCCGAGAAGTGGACGGCAGAGGTGGGCGTATAGTTATCGTGAATTGACTGTCCCAGGTCAAACACTTTTGTCCCAATGTGCCAATAATACTTGTTGGCAATAAAAAGGATCTTCGGAATGATGAGAAAACTCGAATGGAGCTCGCAAAAGTTAAACAGTCCCCGGTTACTACTGAACAAGGCAAGGCCAAAGCCAATCAAATCGGTGCCTATGGCTACGTCGAGTGCTCTGGTACGTGGCGAATATTTGTATAACTTTCTTTCAGCTAAAACGAAAGAGAATGTCCGCGAGGTCTTTGAAATGGCGACTCGAGCGGCGTTGGAGACCTCCAAAAAATCAAAGAAGAAGCGCTGCAAAGTTTTATAGATGGTTTTGTATTTCCTGCCGATTCTCGACACCTAATCACGTGACTTGAATTTCTGCAGCTTGTGTGCATTCCATCCTGCCGTTCTTCTCCGACTGGCTTCCCAGTTGCTTCCCGGTTTGTATCGTCAGGATTCTCTCGCGTTTCGCAAATCTGCGTTTTGCCTGTGAGGCATCCAGATATATTTATTCACCTACTTCTATGTTTCTCTAAAATCATCTTTGTCGTTTCATTATTTAGTTGCAATAATATATTTACAAGACTCTTTGGCTTGATTTTGTTGTTCGAATATCCCCCAATTATACGGTTTCTCATAGTCGTAACAAATCCTCTTTAGTGAATTAGTGCCCTAGACTTCATATTTTAATCAATAATTTTAAAATCCCACGTTCGCTTGCATTCGTCAGCCACCTAACGCAAATTTAGTGAATTCTTATAGCTACTTTTTAATTTTACTTTACCCAGACTTGCCACTTGCACTTTTTTAGACTCTTCATTCGGTCTTTTGGTACTTATCCTTCAATTTCGTCTTGTTTGATGTTAAATTGGATTATGAAACAGGTTTCGAGTTTGTCATGAGCGTTGCGCTTTTTACTATTAAAACCTATGAAGGGATTCTACCTTGTCAGGTGAAATAGCTCTTGACTAGGTCGTGTGTGTTACGTAAACTGGTTTGACACCCGATTTCATTTAAGGGGAAGTGAGTTGGAATCCATTAAGCTGGATTAACCCATTTGCACCTAGCTCATGCTATACTTACTGTGGCAATTTCATTATGTCAGCTGTGGATAAACCTCTAACCTATTTGATAATAGCCTTTCATGATGGTCATTGGCTACCCCATTTTCATTACTCAGTCTTAAATCGGGTCATTTTATGACTAAGAAGTTTTTGAGTGAAGTGCTTCCGCAATAAGTAACTTCTTTTGCGAGAGTCTTTCACGTTTTACGTCAAATCTAGTAACTGGTAGATGTTTTCGGTGGGTTAGATCACTGGTCAAATGGCGACTTCTTGAACGTACTGGTACATGCGTCAAAACTCCTCCACTTTATATAACTACATATGGGAATAAAAGAAAACAAGCGGTGCTCAACGTGGATTTGTCAGATACGTTTCATCCAAGTAAGTCAAAGGTGTCGAAAGCAGCAACAGACTTGTAATGGGCTGCTTGGAAAATCCCACCAGGATTCTCTATAAATGGCTGATCTGTGGATTTCATGAATTCGCCTTTTAAATAGACTCTTGGAATATGGAGAATCCCCAAAATGTTCCGTAAGTGCTCACGCTTCTCATATTTTGTGTATGCGGGCTTGAGTATGTGCTTGCCCTCAAGATGAACTTCTGTCCAGCCACAAAACGTTTTGTCTAAGCATCCGGAAGCGTATCACTAGAAAGCCACCGCAACCCTATTAATGCGAGGCAAGTTGCCGTATCTATGGCTATGCTAAATTAGGTATTGGAATTAGAGTACTTTCTTACAACCGGATATTCCACTATTGGAAAAAAGGAGGCAATTGCAACTAGTCGTCCAAGCGTGCTTTTGAAACATGCCGTTTGTCGGAACGGTGAAATGATTGCTGAAAAGTCCCCTCGCGAAGGCAGGAGATGTGGACATTTGGGAGTGATAAACAATGAAACGCATCCCAAGACAGCTACGTGGATGGGGAAGCTGGTGGGAGGGAGTTGCACGCGTAGTGCGCATGCATGCACGTCCAAGCGCCGCCAACGCACAGCCGACACGCGACCGCCCTACCGCCGGTGACCGTCGAAACCACAAGGGCGTCAGAGGTGAATCAATACGAGGCTGCCTTATTTACCATTCGAACACATGTACAAAACCAACTTCAGGCTGACCCGATGGCTCATGAACGGCAGTTATTTCAGATTATGATATAATCAGATCATAAGCAGTAAAATTTCAGAAGCAGTAGGCTAAATTTGACATGTTAACGCATTTGTGATGTCGATGCGAAAGTGGATTAAAGTTAAGTCAGGTTTGTGTAAAGTATTCAGTGAACAATGGTGTTCTGTAGGCAATGAATACTGCCTTTCCATGGTGTAGAACTTGAGTAAGGGAAATTTCCCAACAATTAATCAACCAGTTTACGTAATGATGATGTGACAATGGCGAAACAATGTGCTTGCGGGTCCTGCCTCATAGAAATGGGGTCGGAGTGCTCTCCCCACCCCCACATTACTCACATCTGCACTGCAGTCAGTTACATTTGCTTTTTTTTAGAGTCAAAGCAACTTGACTGCTGTCGTTGGAAGTAGCTTTTCGTAGGCACTAATTATCTGTAATGAACGCACTTTGGGATATGAAATTAGTGAAATAGAAGTTGCAGATGGTAGACTGGGATAAAAGTAGGCAGAAATTTGGCAATTTATTACACTGACGGCCAAATACGTTTCGTTCACTCCACGGGCATTCGTTAGCAGAATTTGCTAGTTCTTCATTGACTGGAAATAATTATCGGTTTAAGTTCTGTCCTTTCCTACTGTATTAGGCTAGTCGCTATTATTAAAATAAATTTGAACAAGAAATTCTAGCTTAACTTTTCTTGGCAGGTGGTGGGCCAAAAGACTGGACCTAGTATTTTTCTGTCACGAGTAAGGAGTAAAAAAGGGGAGCTCGCATGGGAGGCATTAAAACCTCCATGCAAATACTGTTCGGGATATTGACAGAAGACCTTAGTTTTAGACTTCCAAAATGCCTTTTTCGCTCATTTTAGGTGTAGTAGGGATTCGTTTTTTCCTTCATCCTCGGAAGATTCAAAAAGAAGTGATTGTGTTTCAGCCTGAGTTCAGTCGAATCAGTTTCACGTTGCTTTGACAACATACAAACCTACTAATAGTAGTATGAACAGTATGATATAATGATAAGGTAAAATATATACCAGAAAATTAGTGAACGAGATGCCATTTTCAAATATATTGAAAGTAAGGAAATGTCATGTGCAATAAGTGGACTAGATATTTGGCATCTTTGATTTCGATGTTGGAAATCCCCCTAAAGAGTAGTTATATTACTGTCATACTTTATAAAAAAAATTTACTTGGAATTCCTGTTCATTTACAGTGCCTACGGTACGATTTGAGTTTTCACATGTTTCAAATAGCAAGAAGAAACTCGCATCGCAAAATCCTGATTTGGAATGCTATGTAAGGGTCTGGATTTAACTCTTCACGTAGTGCAGCTGTAATACGTTAATTAGTTGCTCAACTGTCGGTTTTATTAGCGGGCCACTCAGAGGCTCCACCATAGTACCTGCGCTGGGTGACCTGGCCTCCAGACCATGTCAGTAGACCCCCGGACCTATTGTACGTACTGTATGTACTGTACTGAACATATTCTACCCGAGTTTTATGTCTTACTTCGTCTTCAGGGAAATCTCGGGACGCAAAATAATAAGATGAGGATGTTTTGATGCTTGGTACTTTACAAGTGATTCCGCAAAACTCACAGTGAGACAAAAGCAAACTGCGCATTTCTTTAAAATGGACACCGAATGTTAGCTTCAAACTTAGCCCTTTGGGGTGTCAATGTGCAAGCGGCAAACATGTTTTCATACTCATCAAGTGCCAGTGCTACTACTAACATTGGCAACCAAGGTTAGTAAACTCACTATATATGTTCTTTGACCCCCCTATCAATATCGCTTGGTTACGACTCCATCCCATTTGCATTTTAATTCGAATGACATGTGGTAGCAAAAGCGAGATAAATGCCAAGCATGAAATGTGTGCGTCAATTTAGATTCCAGCTGCATTACTATGCAAAAATTTAGCTCAGGTTTCACGTGCGATGGTGCGCATTGTATCGCCTTTGTGTTTCAGGACTGATTTCATTTCCACAGGTGGGCCAGGCTCACATTTACACTAAGCATGAAGCGGCGAATTGATTTACCCAGACAATAGCCATATCATGATGTTCGTTTATACTATGCAAAGGAAATACTTTTGCGAACGCGAGTGAAAATAAATAACACGCAGTTTAAAATATAAAGTTTTGCTAAATCTCCATTCCTCTTGCAAACAATTTAGTGTACTTACTATGTATCAGTAAAAGTAGAAAAGCAACGATTTGTGTGACTCATAAAGTAGTCTTACTACCATTGAACAGTTTCCAGCATTCTTCCAATTGAAAAGACGCGTTTAGATATTCAGGATTTTTAGGAGGATATATATTGAAACTTTTTAGCTGCTTTGCTTGAGCATTTGTTTCTTTAGAATGGTGGGCCACATTCCCACCCAGGGAACGACTCCAGCTCTCAACTAATGTCATTTTCCCCCGCCAAACTTTCAGTCAAGGTTTTATCTATCCACGGCGAACTTATTTTTTTAATCCATACAGTACTCTAAATGCAAACAACTAGTGCAATTCTGTGACACGTTGGGACGGCGTACCTTTCCATTTTTACTCTATAAATAGCTGTAAATCGGCGCTCAGTCCCTTGACAAATTGAAGTAAGTCGTTGGAGCGTCAGACCCTATTTGCGACGGTCCGGGGCCTTTATGCAAATCGACCATTAATATACACGGCGTGATAAACCAAAAACCTGCTTTGAAAAGAACGGCCTATTAAAACTGAGCAGATTAAGTAAGAAATCGCTTATCTCTCATTATCTTTAACGTCGCTGTTCAGGCTCAACTTCACTGCGCGAAAGAAGTGACTGCTCATGTAAGCGTACAGCCTGTTCTAAATTTGATGTGTTCTACATAGATTTCCATGCGGATTCACTTGTTTATGAAAGCGTAATCGTTTGGCAATTAGTCTTTTCCACGAAACGGACAGATTCAGGTTTATGTTTTTTTTCCCGAAATTTATCTGAAAAGGCGGATTACCCAAGAGAATCAACATTCTGTTGTACTCCGATGGCAAAAATTCGCGATGCCATGGCCTACGATTCAGCCGCATTTTATTCATATTTCAGTATTTTACTTGAGAGGCTGCCCGTTTGACAGAAAAGCCGAGGGGGAGGTCCACACTTTCTAGTAAGGA